TAAAGCGGTTTTGAAAAATTGCTTACCCCACCTTTAAGCACTCCATTAGAAAATGTGTTAAACCTGGAGTTTGCCGCTTGTAAATGCCCTACAGTCAGAGCTCCAAGTACAAGTTCAAGTGCTGGACAGTTTATGTAGGACATGAGCTGATCCCTGCTCTCTCTGTCTCTTTTCTCCTAGCTAAGGAAGGCTGTTATGGACCACATATCTGACTCTTTCCTGGAGACCAACGTGCCTCTGCTGGTGCTGATAGAGGCGGCCAAGAGCGGTAACGAGAAAGAGGTTAAGGAGTATGCGCAGGTCTTCCGCGAGCACGCCAACAAGCTGGTGGAGGTGAGTAACATATAACACCCCCTCACTCAACTCCCTCATCTCATTCAGCCCGAGCGGATGATTCTTATCTGTCTGGAGATGTAAAGATCTTGGAGGCTGGGCAGGGGGTCACAGATAATCCTCTCAGCAGTCTTGACTGTCCGCTGTAGTCTCTTGATGTCTGATTTTGTAGCTGAACCGTCAGAATGACTCCACTGCAGCCACATTGCTGTTCATGATGGTCAGTGGGGGGAGTGCAGGGGGTTTCTCCTGAAGTCCACGATCATCTCCACAGTTTTGAGCGTGTTAAGCTCCAGGTTGTTAAGACTGCACCAGACAGCCAGCTCTTTAACCTCCTGTCTGTAAGCAGACTCATCTCCGTCCTTGATGAGGCCGATGACTGTAGTGTCGTCCGCGAACTTCAGGAGCTTGACAGAGGGGTCCTTTGAAGTGCAGTCATTCATGTAGAGAGAGAAGAGCAGTGGGGAAAGAACACAACCCTGAGGGGCACCATTGCTGATGGTGATAGCTTTCTTGCTAGCCAGTGCTGATGGTGATAGCTTGCTTTCTTAAAGAAGAGCTTAAGGAGCAATCTGCTTTTGACTCTGAAATACTGGGTTCAGCACTCAATTTTGAATATGTATCAATAATGTAACCAGTCTGAGAAAGCAGTTCCCAGTGCTTTTAGATAGAAGGGGAAAGTTTTAAGATCAAGTTCCGTAATATATTTACTATTAATGTGCTTAAATTGGACTTCAAAATATGCGTATTATCATATGCAATTACCTTCAAATCTTTTCTGAAAGATTTATTATGGTGACGTATTTGTGGTTTTTTAATAAATATTCATGTCGAACAGCTGACAAATTTAGTTGACAGTATATGGTATCAACTCTATACATTCTGGTATATTGACAAAACTCATTTCAGATTGAATTACCACGTTTTGGTAGCAAAGATTTTGGTCTTTGGTCACCAAAGTATTTTAAATAGGGAGCTGTTATAAATGTATTCCATTATAAATAATATAGTATATACTGGGTGACCCCGAATAGTCGAAGATTCGATGCTTCGATTGGAGGAGCCTGATTCGACTACCAATCTCACAGTCGAATATTCGCGGGGTGTTATGATAATGCCATTTTGTCTATATAGGGGTGCTGAAATGTCTGATTTCACATAGAAATAGTGTTTTTCTCCGCATAAGTTAATATACAGCCTATTAAAATAATGCTGTAAATAAGAATCTGAAAAGAAAGAAGCTTCAAATAAATAGTTTAACGTGCGTGAATAAATCCAACCACCCCTAATTTATATCGTATAAGATGCATTTGGTTGAGTTGCGCTGCAGTAAAGCGCTTCATTGTAGTACTACGGTGATTATCTCTTCAGCGCGCAGCGCGAGCAGGACAAACAACAATGCATAATATTAATAACTATGACTGGGACTGTCATATACATAAAAATTATAATAAGAGCACTATTATAAGAAAACGCTGTGAATTGTTTTAGTTTAGTTGCTGTGTTTCTGCACGTTGTTGTGTGAAGAACGCGTCCACAAAAGGAGTTCATTCAGAGCCGCGCAGACACGTTCTGCACATTTTGTGCAGATAGCCTATAAGTCGTAATATTAACGTTATGTTGTATAAATAACGAAGCGTATTCTATATGAGATAAATGATGAGTTAAATCCCATTGATTAAAAACCTGCTATCAAATGCTTCATTCTATTCTTCATCTTCAGTGCGCGCAGCTCAAAACAGAAACGCAGAACATTATTAACTGCTGCCATATACATAACATTATAATGAGAGCACTATTATAATAAAACGCTGTGAATTTGTAGAGTTTAGTTGTCGTGTTTCTGCACGTTGTTGCGTGAAGAACGCGTCCACAAAAGGAGTTCATTCAGAACCGCACAGACACATTTCTGGGCCGTTTTGTGCAGATAGCCTATTAGTCGTAATATTAACGCTATGTTCTATAAATAACGAAGCATATTCTATATGAGATAAATGATTAGTTAAATCCCATTGATTAAAAACCTGCTGCTTCATTCTACTGGTCATCTTCAGTCAAAACAGTAATGCAGAACATTAATAACTACTATCATATACATAAGGTTATAATGAGAGCACTATTGCAAAAAAAATTGTAAATTCTTAGGGTTTCACTGACGTTTAATGTTAACTATCTTTTAATCAAAGCATAAAACATTATTTACCCCCTTTGTATCTGCGAGGCGTCCGTTACACATTTCCCCTGTGTGTTAACGTAATTATGACTGTCAAATGTGTGACTTGACTCTTGACCCCCAAAACATATGATTCGACTAGCAGTCGAATATTGGCAAGATCCGAAAATTCCGATTCGACTATGAAAGGGACACCCCTAGTATATACTGTTCTCAAATTTGGAGCTGGTAAGTTGTTGTTTTTTTTTTTTTTTACTTTTTCTCTCTCTCTATCTTATGATCACCAAATCTGAATTAATTTTATATAAAAAATACAGTAAAATAATATTTTATTTTCTCTCTTATGATGACCAAATCTGCATTTATTTTATATAAAAATACAGTAAAAATAATATTTGCCGTACTATTTTTGCAATTTAAAATAACTTTTTTCATTTGATATATTATATATTTTTATGCATTTTGATACATCTTATCACAACTGAAAACGTTTGTTCTGCTTGTATTTTTGTGAAAACTGTGATACTTTTCTTTAGGATTCCATGATGAATAGGAAATTCAAAAGAACATTACATTGAATTTTTTGAACAATATGTAAGTCTTTGCCGTCACTTTTGATCAGTTTAATGCCTCCTTGATAAAAAAAATATTCTTTAAAAAAAGTAAATAAATAAATATACAATAAAAAAAAAACATATAGACCATAAACCTTTGTATGGTAGTGTGTTTATATATATATA